GTATGACACACAACGCCCAAAGAAGGCCAAGAGCACAGACCAAGGAGCCAAGACTTCTGGGTTCCAATCTCTCTACTAATGACAATTTACTGTTAACTAGAGCAGAGGCAGCTCAGTTGAAGTGGAGGTCAGACTTCAACTTGGGGACACCAAGACTAAGTGACAGGGGTACACAGGGTGCAGACAGTATGGCTCTTTCCCCAGACTCAGTCATTTTCTCTATACATTACCTGAGCAGTAGTTGGTCATTCTGGAGACCCCTAAAGGTCCTGCCAGGAATGGGCTACAGTGAAGTCACTGAATTTCCCAAATTGGCAAGTAACATAAGTAGAAACAAGACCTTTAGACCTGTAAACCCTGATTAGGTATACACCCACGGTATCTCTATATTATTGGGCTGGTACCTAGGTCTGTTTTCCTGACATCTGTAGTCTTGATTTTTTTTTTGGATAATTATCTACTGGAATTCCAACTTGCTACATTTACTCTGAAGCTAATACCTGAAAATATCTTTTTATCTCTTATAAGCTACAGAAAAAAATAAAACCCTACATATCTTATTAACCAGGATTCTTAGTGTATGTGTGGCTGTACCTGTGTACACACAGGTGGAGATCAGATGACAACTTTGAGTGTTGTTTCACAAGCAACAGTCACCTTGTTTTTGAGATGGGGTCTCTGACTGGCTTGGACACTCCAAGTAGGCGAGGCTGGCTGGCCAGCAAGCCCCAGGGATGCACCTGACTCTGTCTCCTCCAAGGCTGGGATTACAAGTAAATGCCTCAAGGCCCAGTTTTTTTTTAAAGCCAGAGCTGTGGGGATCAAACTCAAGTCCTCATGCTGAAAAACAAGCATTTCACCATCTGAGCCACTCCCCCGTCTCACTCTGTTTCATATGTCTGTCCTCTCAATTTTTAAAGTACAAATTAAAGTCTCTGTTGTTTTTCATTCACAAAGGGATGCAGTCTTGCGGTAGAGGCCTGGTCTCTCTGAGAAGTGCCTGGACCGTTTTCAACTTAGCTGCCAGGGCTGGAAGCCTAGCTCACAGCATACTGACCACAGGAAACTCAGAATGCAGCATCAGCACGCATGGCTGCTGCACCACACAACTTCCATGGTGAAAAGAGTTTATGAATTGCAAGATGAAGATGTGCAGGTCAGGTGGCGGTGCAAGGGTCGTCGGTGGAATAACAAGGGGAGGTCAACCTCATGGAAGCCTGTGATTCCCAATTAAGACCTTTACATGCCATGGAATAAAATCTGTAGTGTATATGTGTGTGTGTGTGTGTGTGTGTGTGTGTGTGAGTTTGTGGAACACAAAGCTCCTAAACTGTTGTGTGCTAGAGACGACAGCGAGACCAAATCGTCCCTGGAATTACAGTGTTAGTAAGGTGAATAAAAGATTCTTTACTTTCCCCTGCACGTTTGATATTCCTAACACTTAGAAGGACCTTGTACTATGAGAAGGCCTCACACTTTGAGGGGTCTGCTAGCTGGGCAAAGGGAGTGTCAAGGACAACTTTGCATGCCTGTGGGAAGCTCTGACAAGAGGCACTGACAGCTTGCCTTGGCTCAGCCCTTGGAGAACACTTCACACCACCCTGCGGGCACACAATGGCCACGCTTCAGGGGCCTCTAACATCTCCAGCCTTGGCAACAAGGCTGCTGAGGCAGCTTGGTACAGTGGTCACAGAGGCTGGGCTGCTTATTGCTCAGCGGTTAGTTGGCTTCTCTGAGGGGGACTAGTGTAAGAGGAGAGTGTAAGAGTATAAGAGGAACGGTAGCTTCTTGGAGGGAAAGCTGAAAGCAAGCAAATAGGTAACTTGAGGGAGTGCTATGGTGGCGGGCACATTGGCCATGGTGGGGGGGGCATGATGAAATGCCAGCCCGGGGCCACTTTGCCATTCTTCCTCCCCTGTGATGAGGTGCCAGCCTTAGAATGTTTTACCTACACTTCCTCCTTACTCCCCTCTCTGTTGACTGGAAAGCACAGGGTGGCATCGTCTTTCCTTGTTCATTTACTGCACCCTGAGCTGAACATTCCCCACGGGACACAGCCAGCATGGACAGGAAGGTGGGACCTCTTACCCCCTCCCATTCTGGCCCCAGACCTCGGTCTCCTCGCTGTGGTCAGTCCCTGCTCGGATTCACTTTCTGAGTTCACGTTCAATGTGATGAATAAAACCAACTTTTCAATGCAAAGAAAACTGATGGTATTTCCTCCCACAGGAAGGGGGAAAGTGCATTACCGAGTGTGAAATATTCCTAGTGGTTAACTTCACAGATGTTGTCTTTAGAGAATCTCTAGAACTTTCTGAGAGATAAGCATGTCCTGATTTCCTATCACACACTGTGTAATGTCAACACATCCAAACTACGATACTCTTCTTAATGTGCAAGCTATTTTTTTTTCCAGGATCCTAACATTAACCTCTTTAGGGCTAGTGTATTTTGAGAATCTTCTTTATATCTGAAAAAATTATGAACGTATAACGCCTGCACTTAGTTACTGTTCATTGTTTCATTGACAAGATTTCTGATGGTGTCTAATATTTGGTCACAGAGATGTGTTATAAAATGTCAATCTGTAGATGACGCTTGCTAGGTCTGGGTTGGGGAGGGGAGGCTCCTTAAATGGAGATGTCAACTCCAGCCAATTTTGGAATGGTTCACCATTAAGATGGATGTTTTCAAAGCCCCATGCCTCTGCTGGAAATTAAAAAAAAAACCAAAACATGGGAATAACTGATTATGATTAATTTTAAGTGCTTAGCCATGTGAAGCCAAATGAACATCCTTAAAACAAAGCTATTGATCTGGCTTTGTTTGGGATTGAGAAGATAAACTAATCAGGTCCTGCAGGCCTTCTGCAGTCATGAGGAATGAGGAGCTGGATTAGTTTTTATCATTAGTATTATTATGTTGGTCATGGGTTTCTGGGTTTTAACTCAGCCACACCTGATATATTTAGGTATCATGGGTTTCCACCCCCCTCCCCTAGCAAATAGCTGAGAAGAGAAGAGTTGTCTAAATATGTCCTGGGTAGGAGTTTGATCAGGATGAAGACAGGGTAGAGAGAAATAGATGTGGGAAAGGCAATATTTAGAGTCCCTTCTGTGTGGTCCCGTCTCAAAGGTGAGGGACACCCAGAGAGGTCACAGAGCTTGACCCAAGTCCACGGCTTCCTAGTTCCCATCCATATGCGTCTATCCTTAACGTTCCTTTTCTCCTAGAGACTCCCTCAGACACCACTTGCTGCAGAGAACTAACCAAGGGGCTGACAGGTCACCACAGCTGTTTTGAGGCAGCTGTGACTTCCATGTCCTCAGTTCTTCCCAAGGAATTTTCTCATATTTCTCGTTTTCTCTGGCAAGGAGCAAAAAGGTTTCTAACCGACCTTTCATGCTTTTCCTAAAGGCAGGGGGAATCACTCCTCCCTTCTCAAGTCTAGTTTCCCAGGAAGAGAAGTCCTGGGTTGGGCTGACACACTCTCCCACAGACATGCAATTGTTGCTGGTTCCGGGGTCAGAGTTTGGGTGAGGAGAGACCATCCATCTTGGGACTGACAATCTGACCTCTCCTGTCTGGGTCTTGTCTTTTCTATGCCAGGAATCCTCAGCTTGCAACCGATTTCAAGTAGCTTGCAGCATCAGCATCCCTTATATTTCCCGTGATTCCTCCTAGGATCACCTTCCTCCCTAGCAAGGTGGAGGGGATCTTTCTAACCCACTGCTGGCCTCTTCCAGGTGAAAAGGGACGCAACGGAAGAATGTGTACACCTCCCTTTATGCACAAAGGGATGTTTTAATACGTTCATTCATTTATCTGGCATTCATTCTTATACTGAAAACAGACACAGGAAACCTTTGACTATGTAATTTTGTAATTTTTTTTTTATTTCCCAAGGATGCTCAACCCAACCCAACCCAACCTATCCTCTTATCATTCTGAAGCTAGACTGTTCCAATGAAATTATTTTTGCAGCTTTTGGAGAGCACGAGTCACTCCCAAGTTAAAGCAACCAACTCCTTTATCTTACAAAAGAGAAAACGGAGGCTTCCCAGAGCCAAAGAGACTTGCCCAAGGTCATACGGCTAATTAGCATCAGTCCCTGTCCCTGACTAGCATAACCCCTGACCTAAGTTCTACTACACCTTACTGCTTCCTCTCCAGGCTTCCTCACACCAAGGGCAGTGAGCAACCTACCTGCTGGGGAGAACAATCAAACTGTTTTCTAACACAAACCAACTTTAGTTGGATGACCCCTAACAGGACCCCCTCAGTGACTTTTCTCTAGAAAGCAGGTTCCTTTAGTTAGAGCAAGTGAAAATCCAAGACACGGGAGGACAGTGTTGTGTGTGCATGTGCGTGTGTGTATGTGTGTGTCTGTTTCTACACAAGGTATATATGGTGGAATTATAAGGAAGGAGTGTCTCCTCTCATCTTTCCATCCCCTCCACTTTAAGGTTACTATTTAAAGTTTGAATTTAAGCCCAAGATAGGATCCCAGGAGCAGTAGCAATGCTAGACCTTAACGGGCTGTCTCTCATTCCCTCCTTGTCCTGTGCCAAGGTCCCTCCCTGCTTCTGGCTGATTCTGACTCACCTTCTGGTGATAACCCCTCTGTCACTGGCCACAGACCTGTAACCTGCCTCCCTATATGCCCACACTCAAATAGCCGCTCCCTGAATACACAGACAGATGCTGGGGGGCTATTCTGGCCATCTGCTCCACCAAATACGGCAGGAGCATGGGAGAAACGGCTGACTGAGGAACCCCAGTTTGTGGCAGGTGAGAAATCACACTTTGCAGCCTGCAAACACTTTGGGCAAGGTAAGCCGGAGGGATCTCCCGGTGCCCGATTTTAATAGCATTGCAGCAGAAGATCCAGAAACGCACCCACAAGGACCCCCTGCACACATACTCCCCCTCTCTTCTCTCCGCACAACGCACACACTCTCTCTCTCACACACAAGGCAGCAATCGCAAAATCAACTCACAGGATCTCCAAATCGCGCAGCGCTCGGAAGGCTCCATCTTCAATGCAGCTGATGTGGTTATTGTCCAGTTGCCTGTGGGAAAGCAAGGGAGAGCATGAAGGCTGAGCTGGGGCATCGGCGAGGGGCTGGGCGGCTAGCCGGCTCCCTGGCCACCAAGCGCCTGTCCCTCCACCCCTTGCAGGCTCTGCTTGTCCCTGCCAGGAGCTCCTGCAGAGCCAGCCTGTCTGCCACGCTGCTCTGTCTCTTCTCTCTGACTGTCTGAGGGAACTACACAGGCGAGCGAGCGCACCAAAGGCTGTCAGGTCTCAGTAAATATTAATTGCGCATTTTTTTTTTTTTTTAGGCAGAAGGGAGTAATTTCATTACATTAGGGCATCCAATCCATTACGAGCTCTTACTGTCATGTCACTGAAACAATTTCATTAAGCTAAAGGCCTGTAAATCATTGGAGGTCACTGCTCTGCCCTCCGCGACCTCCCAGAATGCTTTTTCCCCCCTCTCCCTCGGCTCCCTTTTACTGGAAGTTACAGTCTTTGCTTTGACACAGCGCTAAATCTCAAGGCTTTATCTGCCCAAGAGCGGTGAGGGTGCGTAGGGAATATACCAATTCCAAATTAGACTCAACTAATCTAATTTTATAGTCTTTTTATTATTCTAAGCACCAAATGTCTGTGGTGGTTTGATGTCTCCATGCATTGTTACGTGGCCCATCTGGTAGGTCATTCTATGGGAACATTTTCTGAATAAATACAGATTTCCTCAAACTGCACTAACCATCATCGACATTAAGGCAATCCACCGACGGGAGTATTTGTGATGGAGGACTAAAAGGCATATCATTATTGCCTAAAAGATGCACCACTTACATTTAAATTGGGGAGAATTAAATGCACCTATTTTAGGATTCCTTTTTAATTTCCCCTTTCCTGTCCTAAGTGTAAGAAACTAATGCCTTTCTCAAAGATGCCTTGACTAATACACATTCCAGTTAAGGACTGAGGGATTTCAGTTGAGAAGTAATATACAGACATCATTTATTTTTTTTTCCTTCTGAGTCAAAAATATATTTATTTGATAAGTAGCAAATCGGGGTATTTATAATAACCATACCCAAACTTATACTATATATAATTCATTTCATTCCCCAAATGGCAATGGACAGAAAAGAATCTTGTACAGAAAATGACAAGCAGCAAGCAGCAATCTACTGTCCTCTGCAGAGGACACCACAGTTGGGGATAGGCTGAAAGTGGCTGTCCTTAAGTCTCTCCATGGAAACTCATGGGAAATGAAAAACTGAGCCTTTTCAGGTGAGCCACTTCCAACAGCTGGTATTGTCATTTGTAATTTCCATTAATAAATCCCAAATCAGATCTCCACAAAACACAGTCAAACTCTCATTTGGTAACTCTCACAGAGGGCTTTATTTTATTTTATTTTATTTTATTTTTTATCAAAGGAAGATAGAGTTGAAACTAACACATTAGTATCATTGCAAAAGTATACGGATGTAGGGCTATGAACGCACGTGAGCTCCTGCATGGTGTCAGGTACTATGCAACATTATGAAACTGTATCACCCAGATAGACAAGTCACCGTGGTTCAAGGCTTAAAATAAATAATGTCCAGAATTGAAGCAACCAAGACACAAGTCTCAGAAAGCAGAAGCACCCGTGATATGGACCAGCTCTACACCTGGTGTTCCAAGTCCTGGCTAGTGCTAGAGTACTTGGGCTTCCTGCCTCTTTAGTCTCTCATTTTTTTGGAGCTGTTCTTTACACAATTTTGCTGATTTTTTGGATCTGTACTGGGGCAGCCACTTTATGGACACTGGGTCTATTAGGACAGTCTAGTCTTGCTGTCCAGCTTCCAGATTTATCATCAGTTTAAAGGCCGATGAATCAACAACCTCTGTTCCACGTCAAGGCCACCAAACCTTACCAAGCAGAAACTCAGCGAGGCTGGCTTTGAGCTCCAAAAATTTTTTTTCAACGAACATGCTGAATTCGGGGGAAAAAGAAAACAAAAAGCAAAAACTCTGCACCATCCGTCCAAGTAGAAAATTATCTAAATCATCAGACAGGAATGAGGTGGCAAGATGGCGATTTGTGGTGAATCTGTCCATGTTCGTGCATCTCGGAGAGGTACTTGCAATTATAGCACACTGCAAGTGGATGGATTTGTGAAGTGTTTCCATTCTTCCAAAGAGGAGATTCTAAATGTACAGATTTTTCTCCCCCACGGGAGAAAATAGAATCTTCAAGAAAAAAGAGAAAGTTATAGAAAAAAGAGGTGTGTGTATGTGTGTGGGGGACCCCACTACAGAATGGTAGAAAGAAAATTAAAAGTCTGAGAGGAGAGCTAAAATGATTTATAAAATTATGCAATTCTACGTGACATCAGAGTCCTGAAGCCCAGGTCACAAAATGGTGTGGATAAGAGGACCCTGATCATTGAAGGCAAAATCAGAGAGGTCGAATCCATTATTAATTGTGTGATGTTTAAGTTATTTTCCATGGGAGGCACAAATTGACACCTATTTGTTTATTCATAAGAGGGAAAACTGAGATGTAATGTAAGCATCTCTGTGGGTGTGTTTCCTAGCTTACTTTAGCACATATGAAATGGATCAAAGATTAAAATATTTATGCCTAAGTGTGCTTGCTCAGAAGATGTTTATTATAATGGAGATGGTGTCTTTTCATTCCAACCGCACATCAGCGGAACAGGACCTGTATCCCAACTATCCTCTCTAGTCAAAGGCCCAGGCTCAAGATGCGCAGTTATTGAATCTATGGAGGTGCTCTGCCTGAAGGGGGGAGGTGTCGGGTAAGAGGTAAGTACAACAGTGACTCCACCTTCCCTCTAGTACAGCTCTGTGGAGCTGAGCATCAGAGGATTCACAAAAAGCCCAATTAACAGCTCACAGTCAGTCCTGTTGTTTCATGTAAACACTGGGTCCCCAAACAAAATGAGCAGGTGCCTCATTTGTTCAGACAGATGTCTTTTCTTTTACACTTGTTTATTTATTCTAGGGAGGGGGTGTGTGGAGGTCAGAGGACAACCTCAGAAAGTCTGATCTTGCCTTCAACTACATGGGCTTTGGGGGACTGAACTTGGGTCATCGGGCTTGGTGGCAAGTGTCTTTACCCATTGAAACATCCTGCCTCCATCCCTAGATTGCTACTTCTTTCCAAAATAACAACCCAGAGACATCAAAGTTCTAAAGCACATAGTGTGTGTGTGTAGGAGCCGGGGGGTGGGGGTGGGGAGGTGGTACAGAAAACACAAGCCCAGCATTTCTTTCTTGGTATTGGGATAGAGGACTACTAAACACGTCCAGAATCTTCTGGTAGCTGAAGCCAAAGCATTTGATTTAGCAGTTTGTTTCTGAGAGTTCAGTATGCTGGAGGCTGGTTATGTGTATTCTGAGCTCTCTGGTCAAAGGTCTATATCATGCCTTTGAAAAGATTTACTCAAAGACCCTCTTTAAAAAGGAATGAGAAAAGCTCATAGTATGCCAAGCACACTATCACTTAGGGGGCATGGGCAAAAAGAACGTTTGAAATGTGAGTAGAAAGAGCTCACTAAGTACGCCTGGCTCTGCCCCTGTTCTTCCTGCATGGTGAGAGGTATATTTCTCTTGGCTGCTAAGTAGTGTCTGCTGGTGCTTAGCACAGTTCTGTGGAAGAAAGTGCAAAGCCGTGAGCCCTGTGGCCCTTGCTATGATAAGAGAGTATGCCTAAGTATTACCTCCCTCTGAGCCCATACAGAGCTTAGCACCTCCTGCTTTCCTGAAACACAGAGCCCAGCCACCCCAAGCTCCCCAGCAGGGATCCCCAGAAACAACTGGAGATACTAAGAGATTTCTGTGCTCTTCCTAGGAAGCTTAGGAAGGCAGTAGATGGGAGAGGAAAAATGCTGTTTTTTTTCTTTTTGGAGGTAACTTCCGTTGTTTCATTATACGGAATACCTAATTTGATTTGTACTCCGTAGTCTCTGAATAAGCTGAGAAGCCCCCAAACATTTCACGATATTAAATTAACCGCTCTTATTTCCCCAGGAAGCTTCCATTTCAGCAAACAAAAACCTGCTGAAATGGTACCAGGGCCCATTTAGAAAGAAATCGTCAGATAAGGACTAAGCACAGACTCCCTGGGAGCAATGCTCTGACTACTGAGGTTTTTTATATTCTGAAAAAAAAAAAAAAAAAAACAAATCAGGAAGGAAAGCCAACACAAGCAGGGGACTTAATGTAATCTCTTCATATGGCAGACCAGGCACTAGCACTTCTGTGAGAATTCCTGATCCTATGAGTAATATTCTCTGAATTATCACAGTCCATCTATTTTGCTTGCAGTTTAAATTTTCATAATTGGAGCAGGAGATATATATATTTTTTTCAGTTCAGAAATTTTTACAAAGCATGCGAAAATCCTTAAAAGAGGTGCGAGTTAAAAAAAAAAACTGGTCTGCAGCGTTAACACCACCCAACTCCACAACAGCCACATAAAGGAAGGAAGGAAAGAAGAGGAGTAAGGAAACCCCAAGATTTAAAATGTAGCACGTGAGTTCCAATGAGAAATATCTGGGAAATAGAAATCTCCAGAAACAGGCTTTGGTATTTGGAAGAAGAATACAATTATCAACTAAAATTCCCTGTGCACATGCCACATGCAAGGTCTGCACACCAGGGCTCATCCAGCTGTTGGGAAGGGGGTTGTTCCAGCATCTTGTCAAATGGTTGGTGAAACTTAGCCTGAAGGCACTGTCACTCCAGGGCCCCCAAACAGCAGCAGAAGCAGTAGCAGCGTTCGGCTTTGGATCTATGGCTAGTCTTTGCAGTCATCCTGTGTGAAGCGAAAGAAGCAGGGGAGGCTAGGCATCCTCTGGACTTATACCGCTGGCTGCTTTCTGAACAAAACTACCTTCACAAAACATACAAACCACCAAAGGGCTTCTGTACAAAATTCACAAGGAAAGCCTTAGCAGGAAGCCAAACAAGTCTGTGGCCATAGGATCTAGCAGTTAACTAACCTAGAGTAGTCACAGTGCATTAGCAGAAGTTCAG